GCCGCCATCAGCTGCGGCTGGGTGCAGAGGCTGGTGCGTCCCAGCACACCACGCGATACTTTCTGGTTGGGTGCTTCCACAGTGCTCTGCACCACGGCGGCGAGGCAATCGCACCGTGTCCGGCCCCCGTTCACCTCCACAGCCTGGAACTGCGGCACGGCGACAGCTGCACTGCATCGCTCGGCCCACGCGCATCAAAGAAGGATACTTCTGTCCACCTGACCGCCAATCCAGCACCGCTGCGGAGGAGCATTGGGTTCCGCGCACCCACACAACACGAACGCCTCACACTTCTCCGATGTATTGAGGACGTGCGTGGCGCAGTCTGATTGGAGGCCACGCCGCCGTCCATGGATGAAAGGCGGCGGCATCAATCCCGCTTCCGAGGATGCTGTTATTAATGAATTACGCCGCGTATGTAACATTATTGGGATACCCCACAGCCACAATCGCGCTCCTCCTATTCAAAATCGTAATTTTCCTCTGGGACACTGTGCGCTGCAATAAAGTGGAATTTATCAGCCACGCTTTGCCCAAGACGCCTCTGACGACGTCAAGCGCACGGCTCTTGATTCTATTTACTCCTCTCTGGGAGCGTATGATTTTGAATTATGGACAGACGTTTCTTCATCTCTCGCTGAGCTTGCATCTGGATCCGCTGCACTATTGTATGGCTCCACCACGACAACCGATCTCCCTGTGGAGGTCCATCGTGCAGCAGCTGGCAGGCTCGCATGCTCATATAGAGCAGAGTGCCCTGCCACTGAAAATGGCATTAGACATCTCATATCTTTTGCCCGGAAACATCCCAATCGCCCACACGAATCCTGGTGGCAACGGACTCCCTGTCGAGAACTGAGGCACTCCGCGTCGTTCCACTGGCCATGCGAGACTACGTTACTCAAGAGAGTTGGATTATGCTGCTTTCCTTGGTGAAGCGAGGTCACCCTGTGGATTTCATGTTCTCTCCATCGCACTGCGGTATCCCACGCAATGAGGCCGCTGACGACGAGGCCATGATTGCACGATTCCTCCCGCAGGAGGACAGCCCAATCTGGCACGTGGACTTCCTCACTGCAGTGAAGCGACGGAAGGGAGGGATGCCCAGGAGAAAAGAAGGCGCGTGCACCGCATGACAGGCGCCTGTCGGTGTGGCGAGGACTCTATTCCTGGCACGGCCCGGACATCGTGCCACGAGCGGCGGCCTGCGCAAAGGCGCGATGCGACTCCTGCCCACTCCTCGACATGCCTGCGCGTGCCCTTCGTATCAAAAGTAACCATCTGTGTCGGTGGTGCCGTCCCTTTCTTACTGAAGTGAGCGGCCCGCCGCTGCCTCCGCCGGAACCTCTTCCAGGCGTGAGCACCGCAACTCCTTGCCGACCAGCGAGCGGCGGATTGATGTCCTCCTGCCCAACCTGCAGCATAGTCTGCGCTCGTCCGTCCACAATATGAGGGCGCACGCCCGACGTGCTCAGCCTGGCGTTCCGATAGTTTGAGAAGGCCTCGGATGCGGATGCCACAATGGCGCCAGCGTCTTCTTAACAGGCGCCTCGCGCACCGGTCGCCACAGAAAGTGCCAAGCACGCCAGCAGGCAAAACACGCAGGAAGCACAAACGCGGGTACTCGAGATGGGCCACGAGAGAATTCGCTTCATCCACTGCAGAAATGCCCCGTCGTTGGTAATATGGAATGCGAGTGTTTTGGAGTGCCCCAATCCGCACGACGGCACGTTTCGGACGGAATGCTTGCCACTTTTGTACGGACGGCCCTTGCGCTACTTACTCGTCATTGCAACAGCATACAGCAAAAACAAGGTAACAACTTGCTTTGCGATGAATATTGGCTGCGATTCCCGTGGAGCAACAATTCACGTGGTGTGCGGGGATCATTCCTTTTATTGTTACTTTGCTTTTGTGTTGCTGTGTGCGCTGCACCTCCTCTTGTGTGTGTGCGTACCCTCCGTGAGGGGTGCCGACACGACGGACCACTCTCGCCGTATGTGCATGCGGTGGAGCCTTGTGTGCCGTTCCTGTTTGCTTCTCCTTCCATCTGTGTGTCGTGCGTGGTGTGTGGCGTACGGTGCATGCCTGGCTGCTGCCCTCTCCTCATGTGGTGTGCCCTCTGTGTGTGTCTGCTGCACCTCTCGTCTCCCCTGTTGCTCTCCATGTCCCTCACTGTGCAGATCAGCTCCACACCACTGAACGACCACACTCACGATGATGATGACGTGCCGTCTGCTGTGCGCCCTGTTGGTGCTTGCCCTGTGCTGCTGCCCGTCCGTGTGCGTGAAAACAAGTGAAGGTAAAGCTGAAAAATCTGGAAAAGTTTCCGTTTCAGGGAATCCTAAGCCAGAGGGACAAGTTCATGTGACGAAATCGCCCTCTCCAGAAGAAGACACTAGTCGGGATCAGAAAACTGACGTTGATGCGAGGGTAAAGGACACCAGTCCGTCCGGTGCAGCAGAGGGAGCACTTCGGAGCAGCGGTGAGTCAGATCCACGGAGCCAGGAGTCCGGTGCGGAACAGGGAAGAAATGCCGGAGCGGGACCAAGTTCGACCGCTGCAGGTCCGGAATCAGTTGGCGTGTCTAACACGTTACAAAATCATGGTACGGACGGTACTCCAGTACCAGAAATCAGCACAAGACAATCCGCAGAAGAAGCAAATCAGGAAGCCGAAGATCCTGCCGAGAAGACCACGACGACGACTACAACACATGCACCAACAACGACCACCACCACTGCGCCAGAGGCACCAACCACGAATACAGAGGCACCAACCACGACGACCAGCGCACCGTCGCGTCTTCGCGAAATCGACGGCAGCCTCAGCAGCTCTGCGTGGGTGTGTGCCCCGCTGCTGCTCGCCGTATCCGCGCTGGTGTACACCGCTGTGGGCTGAAGAATTGTATGCGGGCTATGCGTGCCAGCACTCAACCGCGGGGATTTGTGCGCGTCTACTGTGGTCCGATGTATAAAGTAAGAGTAATTATGGTGATTCTGTTTTGCCTTACTTGTTTCTGCCTGCTGTGTGCTTCTCTTTACTTCCCACATCCGTCACATTGAACGCATCACAGACAAACTTGTATGCACGCCACGCATACAACTGTTTGCGTGGACCCACTGTTGGGGATGGATGCATGCACACTGGAGCCATTTAAGTGCAGGGTTCTGTTTTTGTGTTTTTACATTTTTTAGTTTCTTGCTGCTTGTTTACTTTTGTTTTGGTTTTCCTTTTTGTGCTTTTTTAATTATATTTTTGCATGACGTTGTGCGCTTTTTGCACTTTATTGGTTGAATATTTCTTACGAAATGCGTGCTGCTGCTGCTGGTGTTTTTTACTGTTCTTTTTCTTGTGTGCGTCCTTCTATTTTTTTTTTTTTTTTTGCTTTGCGTTGACGGGGAGTTAGTTTGTGCTGAGGGCTGCACGCAAGTGACAGGAGTGATGGCGATGGTGATGGCTGGCCGTGTGCTGCTGGTGTGTGTCCTCTGCGTGCTGTGCTGCGGTGCCGGCGGGGTTTATGCGAGGGAACTCGACAACAAGGCACTGGGTGGCTACATGGCGTTGAGAGGGTTTGGAAGGAATACGTCGTTTTTGTCAAACGGATCTATTAAAAAATTATCCACACCGCTTTTGCTGTCAGCATCGTTTATCTCTGCTATGCAAGCCGAAGCTCGTGAAGAAGATGTTCCTTCTGCAAGGGTTACTGATTCACCTTTAAGTGGAGCCACTGGTCTTGGTACTGTTCCACATGTTCCAGGTGGTCCTCCTGCTGCGGAAGGCAAATCACTGGGGCCTCCTTCTGTCAGTCATTCCTCACGCAATACTGGTGGTAGCTCGGGGAATGTAGGCAGTGTTCCATCCACTACGCAGAATAAATCCCCAGAAGAAATTCCGCTACAAGAACAGACAGGGACTGAACAAAACTTTTTGTCGCCAGAGAAGAAGGCAGCCGATGAAAAAATTGATGGGGCGCAGATACAAGATTATTCTTCAGCACTGCGTCAAGGCGTTGACGACGCTGCCACGTTGGATGGCGAAGGTATAAATTCTTTGGAGGAAACAAAGAATGAAAAAGAGGATATCAAAACCCCCGAAGCAGAAGAGTCACTAGAGGATCCAACTAAAAAATTACAGGGCGGTGAAACGGACCCACCGGCGTCATCAACAGAAAAAAAGCCGGAGCCTCAACCCCCGCATCGAACGAAAAATCCAGCAACTGAAGAGAACGACAGCAAGAACACGGATGCATCTACGGCATTACCGAATACAGGGCAAGAAGACAATCCGAAAAAAAGAAGAACTGAAGGTCCTTTGCATGAAGCAGGTACCGTGCAGAGTACATCAACTGGCATTCAAGAACAAACACCTGCGGCCGCGCCAAATGAAAATCCTTCATCACTTCCAAAGGAACAATCTACTGTAACACAGACTACTACGAATGCTCAACCTCTGGATTCCGTACAAACCAAAAAACGCCAAAGTGGCGATAAGAAAAAGCTCGACAACAGTGACAGCAGCACCGCGGTCTCCCACACCACCTCCCCTCTTTTGCTTCTTCTTGTTGTTGTGTGTGCGGCTGCTGCTGCGGTGGTGGCCGCGTGAGAGTGAGGGAGAGAGCCGTGCACCGCCCGCACACACACACTTCCTTCTCTCTCTCTGTTTGTGTCCCCTTGCATGGACTCTCGCCCTCACCTCACCCCACGAAGCACACAAATAATGTGCCCATTGTATATATGCATGCACACCCATGCAGGCCCGTTGGTGCTCTCTTTTGCACCGCACGCACCGCTGCCGTCCTGCCTGGCTGCATGGGCGGAGCACCGTAACTGTTTCTGTTTTGTTTTTATTGCATTGAGTGGGCGACCTCTCTCTCTCTCCCTCTGTGTGTGTGTTTTGCTTTACGGGAGCAATGAGAGAGTGTGTGCGCTGGTCGTCCCACGCTTCGGCTTTTTGTTTTTTTCCTTTCTGATTTTGTGGTTGAGTGCACCCATTCCGCGGCTGCGTGTGTGTGTGTGTGTGATGATATGAGTAATTTGCGTGTGTGCTATCTGCCTCTCTCTGCCGTTGCTTTCTTCAGACTCTCTTGTGGCGCACAGCTGCTCTGCAATTATATACGCTGCCAAACACATTCACATGCACACACGTCATGTGACACACGTTAAGGAGCGGCGTGAACGTTGAGGACGCACGCACACGATTTTTCTGTGGCCCTTGAGAGGAGGGATGACGGAACACCGAAATTTGTTTTGTTTCTGTGCTAAGGGCGTGATTATCTTGGCGTGCAGCAGTTGACTAATGTGGTGTGGCATTGAGGGTGCCTGGGAGGAGTGCAGATTCACACCAGGCAGCTGCACGTGCTGATGTGTATCTCCCGCTGTGGATGTGCCGACGAAGGATTCTCCGGCTGTGCGGGGCGATGTGCGGTGGAGGGTGTGGGAAGAGACAACAGTAAAACGACTGGCGGCAGCGCATGTGGGCGTTTTTCGGTGTGTGCTGACGCGTGAATAACGACACACCCGCTGTGACTCCTGCTGCTATTGGCAGTTGCTGTGTGTTCCCGGTGCACTGTTCTTCCTTCTCGTTCCGTGTGTCCGTGTGCGTGAGTTTTTGTTGTTGTTGGGAGTGACTGCGGCGGGGATGATGCTGCCACTCACTGTGGATGGGTGACGGTGTTCACTGTTGTACCTCTTTGTTGTTGCTTGTTTTTCTTTTTCCTCTCTTTTCTAAACCACTCACACACAAAGGAAAGAAGTTAACAACAAGCGCTAATCGCTACTGTGAGATTTGAAGGCCCTGAAAGGACCAACAGCACACACACCGCCCACACACACATATTTATATGCTCTCACGTGTTGCTGCAGTGAAGGCACCCCGCACACGCAACTGTCGCGGCGTGACCGGATCCAGCGGAAGGAGGAGGGAAGGAGGAGAGAGTGAGCTGCAGAGGCGCAACATGTCTCGGCATCTCTTCTGCTCTGCGGTGCTGCCCCTCCTTTTTATGATGATGTGCTGCGGCACTGGAGGTGCTGCGGAAATTGCGGGGCAGTCAACAGTTTCAAAGTTTGAATGGAAGGACGTCAAGATTGAGGATGAAACTGTGGAGTCGTTGGGTGCTGCGGGCCTTCTAAACGTGGGGAGTGACGTGTTTGCCGTTGCCGAAGCGCAGTGCAAAAAGGATAGCGTCATTTTTACTGGCGTTGCATCCCAAATTATCACGAAGGATAATGCTAACACACCGGTGGAAGTTCTGAATGAAGTGAAAGGGACACGATTTCTGGAAGACGGTTCCGAAGTCCAAAAGAAGAAAGTGGATGTGAGCCGACCAACAACAGTTGTGCAGGAAAATGATATTTACGTGCTTGTTGGGAAATACAGCCAGGCAGCTGTTGGTGCTCAGAATAGCGGTGCCGAGGACTGCGGACTTTTGCTGGTGAAAGGGAACGTCAGTGAAGAAAATAGCGGCGAAAAAAGAATCCATTGGAAAGATAATGACGATGTCTCGCGTATTTCTGTTGGCGAACTCGATTCTTGGACACGGCTGTTTGGCAGTGGTGGATCGGGTATTAAGATGAAGGACGGTACGCTTGTGTTTCCAGTGGAAGGCACGAAGAAGGAGGGTGACGCACCAAAGGATGAAAAGGCCGTTTCTCTGATCATACACACCTTGAAGGATGCTAAGAGTTGGACGCTGTCGAAGGAGGTTCCTTACGATGGCTGCAGTGATCCCTCCGTCGTGGAGTGGGGACAGAAGGACAAAAAACTCATCATGATGACTGCGTGTGATGATGGCCGCCGCAGGGTGTACGAGTCCGGTGACATGGGGGAGTCGTGGACGGAGGCGCTCGGGACACTCTCGCGCGTGTGGGGCAACAAACAGGGCGAAGGGGCGAAGGGCGTTAGAAGCGGGTTCATCACAGCGACGATTGGCGATGATGATAAGAAAAATGTGATGCTTGTGACTCTGCCCGGTTTATCCCGAGAA